GCCTCTAATAGGGCCCCTGGGATCGCCGCCGCCTCTGGGAGGGCCCCTGGGAGCCCCACCAACCGTGGGAGGGCCCCAGGGGGCGCCGCCGCCCTTGGGAGGGCACGGGGGACTCCACAGTTCGTGGAAGAGGTCCTGGGGGGTGCCACAGCTAATGGTAGGGCCCCTAAGGGATCCGCCGCTTTTGGGAGGGCCCTTGAGGGCGCCGCTGCTCCTGAGAGAGACCTGGGGGCGCCACAGCCCCTGGAAGAGGCCTTGGGAGTGCTACAGCCTCTGGCAGGGCCTATTGGAGCTCCACCTTCCCTGAAAGTGCCCTTGCAGGCGATGCCGCCCCAGGCAGGGCTCCTGGGAGCGTCGCCGCCCCTGGCAGGGCCCTTGGGGTCACGACTGCCCTTGGGAGGGTCTTTGGAGGCACCGCCGGCCTCGAAAAGGGCCTCTAGGGACGTTGCCACCCATAGAGAGGGCCCATGGGGGTGCTGCCGTCCCTGGTAAGGCCCCCGGGTGCGCCGTCGCCCCTGGAAGGCTCGTGGGGCCACCACCACCCCTGGGAGGGTCCTTGCAGGTTCGCCGGCCAATGGTGGGACATTGGGGGCGCCACTGCCCCTGGCAGGGTCCCTGGGATCGCCGCCACCCCTAAGGAGAACCCGCCTCCTGTGGTAGGGCTCCTAAAGGCGCCGCCACCCTTGTGAGGGCTCCTAGTACCACCTCAGCATCTGGGAGGTCCCTTGGGAGCGTCCACGCCCCTGGAAGGACCCCTGGGCGCCATTGCCCTTAATAGGGCCGCTTGGGACGTCACAGCCCATGTCATGGGTCCCTTGGGGCGTCGCTGCCCCTGAGAGGGTCCAGGAGAGCATATCCACCTCTAAGGAGAGCCCCAGACGACCCGCTGCTCTTGGGAATGTCCCAGGGAGCGCCGCCGCCCCTAGGAGGGCCCTGGGGACGCCAGAGCCTCTGGAAGAGGCCCTGAGGATACCACAGCCCCTGACAGGGACCCCTGGGGGCGCCGTTGCCCCTGAGAGGGGCCCGGGGAGCGCCGGCAACCCTAAGTTGGGCCCTTGGGGAAGCCACTGCCCGTGGAAGGGCCGCTGGGTGCTCTGTTGCCCCTGGGAATGCCCTTGCGAGCGTCGCACCTGTTAGGGCAAATGGGAGGGCTCCAGGGAACGCTGACCCCGTAGGGCCCCTGGGGCAGTTGGTTCTGCACTATTTAGAACAATGGGAGATATGACGTTAAATAAATACACCGCCCACAACATTTCCAGTATCATCTTCCTCATGAACAATGTGAAGGAGAATAAATATCGAACAGGAAAACATAAGTTGGGGTGTTATGCTGACTGACTGCTCTGTTCTCCTATTGGCTGTTATTTGGTGGATTTACATTTTAGTCCACCAATCACAGTTAAGTAAGGGATTGCTGTTCGGACGCAATATGTACGACACCACAACCAAGGAAGCAAAAGGGATCCTGCGAGGGGCCGCCTCTAATAGGGCCCCTGGGATCGCCGCCGCCTCTGGGAGGGCCCCTGGGAGCCCCACCAACCGTGGGAGGGCCCCAGGGGGCGCCGCCGCCCTTGGGAGGGCACGGGGGACTCCACAGTTCCTGGAAGAGGTCCTGGGGGTGCCACAGCTAATGGTAGGGCCCCTAAGGGATCCGCCGCTTTTGGGAGGGCCCTTGAGGGCGCCGCTGCTCCTGAGAGAGACCTGGGGGCGCCACAGCCCCTGGAAGAGGCCTTGGGAGTGCTACAGCCTCTGGCAGGGCCTATTGGGGCTCCACCTTCCCTGAAAGTGCCCTTGCAGGCGATGCCGCCCCAGGCAGGGCTCCTGGGAGCGTCGCCGCCCATGGCAGGGCCCATGGGGTCACGACTGCCCTTGGGAGGGTCTTTGGAGGCACCGCCGGCCTTGAAAAGGGCCTCTAGGGACGTTGCCACCCATAGAGAGGGCCCATGGGGGTGCTGCCGTCCCTGGTAAGGCCCCCGGGTGCGCCGTCGCCCCTGGAAGGCTCGTGGGGCCACCACCACCCCTGGGAGGGTCCTTGCAGGTTCGCCGGCCAATGGTGGGACTTTGGGGGCGCCCCCACCCGTGGGATGGCCCCTGGGGGGGAGCCACTGCCCCTGGCAGGGTCCCTGGGATTGCCGCCACCCCTAAGGAGGACCCGCCTCCCGTGGTAGGGCCCCTAAAGACGCCGCCACCCTTGTGAGGGCTCCTAGTACCGCCTCAGCATCTGGGAGGTCCCTTGGGAGCGTCCACGCCCCTTGGAAGACTCCTGGGGCGCCATCGCCCTAATAGGGCCCCTTGAGACGTCACAGCCCTTGTCATGGGCCCCTTGGGGCGTCGCTGCCCTTGAGAGGGTCCAGGAGAGCTTCTCCACCCCAAAGGAGAGCCCCAGGGGCCCTGCTGCCCTTGGGAGGGCCCCACGGGGCGCCGCCGCGCCTAGGACGACCCTGCGGACGCCAGACCCTCTGGAATATGCCCTGAGGATACCACAGCCCCTGACAGGGACACCTGTGGCCGCCGTTGCCCCTGAGAGGGCCCCGGGGAGCGCCGGCACCCCTAAGTTGGGCCCTTGGGGAAGCCACTGCCCCTGGAAGGGCCGCTGGGTGCGCTGTTGCCCCTGGGAATGCCCTTGCGAGCGCCGCACCTGTTAGGGCAAATGGGAGGGCTCCAGGGAGTGCTGACCCCGTAGGGCCCCTGGGGCAGTTGGTTCTGCACTATTTAGAATAATGGGAGATATGACGTTAAATAAATACACCGCCCACAACATTTCCAGTATCATCTTCCTCATGAACAATGTGAAGGAGAATAAATATCGAACAGGAAAACATAAGTTGGGGTGTTGTGCTGACTGACTGCTCTGTTCTCCTATTGGCTGTTATTTGGTGGATTTACATTTTAGTCCACCAATCACAGTTAAGTAAGGGATTGCTGTTCGTACGCAATATGTACGACACCACAACCAAGGAAGCAAAAGGAATCCTGTGAGGGGCCGCCTCTAATAGGGCCCCTGGGATCGCCGCTGCCTCTGGGAGGGCCCCTGGGAGCCCCACCAACCGTGGGAGGGCCCCAGGGGGCGCCGCCGCCCTTGGGAGGGCACGGGGGACTCCACAGTTCCTGGAAGAGGTCCTGGGGGGTGCCACAGCTAATGGTAGGGCCCCTAAGGGATCCGCCGCTTTTGGGAGGGCCCTTGAGGGCGCCGCTGCTCCTGAGAGAGACCTGGGGGTGCCACAGCCCCTGGAAGAGGCCTCTGGCAGGTCCTATTGGGGCTCCACCTTCCCTGAAAGTGCCCTTGCAGGCGATGCCGCCCCAGGCAGGGCTCTTGGGAGCGTCGCCGCCCCTGGCAGGGCCCTTGGGGTCACGACTGCTCTTGGGAGGGTCTTTGGAGGCACCGCCGGCCTTGAAAAGGGCTTCTAGGGACGTTGCCACCCATAGAGAGGGCCCATGGGGGTGCTGCCGTCCCTGGTAAGGCCCCGGGTGCGCCGTCGCCCCTGGAAGGCTCGTGGGGCCACCACCACCCCTGGGAGGGTCTTTGCAGGTTCGCCGGCCAATGGTGGGACTTTGGGGGCGCCCCCACCCGTGGGATGGCCCCTGGGGGGGGGCCACTGCCCCTGGCAGGGTCCCTGGGATTGCCGCCACCCCTAAGGAGGACCCGCCTCCCGTGGTAGGGCTCCTAAAGACGCCGCCACCCTTGTGAGGGCTCCTAGTACCGCCTCAGCATCTGGGAGGTCCCTTGGGAGCGTCCACGCCCCTTGGAAGATTCCTGGGGCGCCATCGCCCTAATAGGGCCCCTTGAGACGTCACAGCCCATGTCAAGGGCCCCTTGGGGCGTCGCTGCCCTTGAGAGAAGGTCCAGGAGCTTCTCCACCCAAAGGAGAGCCCCAGGGGCCCTGCTGCCCTTGGGAGGGCCCCACGGGGCGCCGCCGCGCCTAGGAGGACCCTGCGGACGCCAGACCCTCTGGAATAGGCCCTGAGATACCACAGCCCCTGACAGGGACACCTGTGGCCGCCGTTGCCCCTGAGAGGGCCCCGGGGAGCGCCGGCACCCCTAAGTTGGGCCCTTGGGGAAGCCACTGCCCCTGGAAGGGCCGCTGGGTGCGCTGTTGCCCCTGGGAATGCCCCTGCGCGCCCGCACCTGTTAGGGCAAATGGGAGGGCTCCAGGAGTGCTGCCTGACGCCCGTAGACCTGGGGCAGTTGGTTCTGCACTATTTAGAACAATGGGAGATATGGCGTTAAATAAATACACAGCCCAACATTTCCAGTATCATCTTCCTCATGAACAATGTGAAGGAGAATAAATATCGAACAGGAAAACATAAGTTGGGGTGTTGTGCTGACTGACTGCTCTGTTCTCCTATTGGCTGTTATTTGGTGGATTTACATTTTAGTCCACCAATCACAGTTAAGTAAGGGATTGCTGTTCGTACGCAATATGTACGACACCACAACCAAGGAAGCAAAAGGGATCCTGCGAGGGGCCGCCTCTAATAGGGCCCCTGGGATCGCCGCCGCCTCTGGGAGGGCCCCTGGGAGCCCCACCAACCGTGGGAGGGCCCCAGGGGGCGCCGCCGCCCTTGGGAGGGCACGGGGGACTCCACAGTTCCTGGAAGAGGTCCTGGGGGTGCCACAGCTAATGGTAGGGCCCCTAAGGGATCCGCCGCTTTTGGGAGGGCCCTTGAGGGCGCCGCTGCTCCTGAGAGAGACCTGGGGGCGCCACAGCCCCTGGAAGAGGCCTTGGGAGTGCTACAGCCTCTGGCAGGGCCTATTGGGGCTCCACCTTCCCTGAAAGTGCCCTTGCAGGCGATGCCGCCCCAGGCAGGGCTCCTGGGAGCGTCGCCGCCCCTGGCAGGGCCCTTGGGGTCACGACTGCCCTTGGGAGGGTCTTTGGAGGCACCGCCGGCCTTGAAAAGGGCCTCTAGGGACGTTGCCACCCATAGAGAGGGCCCATGGGGGTGCTGCCGTCCCTGGTAAGGCCCCCGGGTGCGCGTCGCCCCTGGAAGGCTCGTGGGGCCACCACCACCCCTGGGAGGGTCCTTGCAGGTTCGCCGGCCAATGGTGGGACATTGGGGGCGCCACTGCCCCTGGCAGGGTCCCTGGGATCGCCGCCACCCCTAAGGAGAACCCGCCTCCTGTGGTAGGGCTCCTAAAGGCGCCGCCACCCTTGTGAGGGCTCCTAGTACCACCTCAGCATCTGGGAGGTCCCTTGGGAGCGTCCACGCCCCTGGAAGGACCCCTGGGCGCCATTGCCCTTAATAGGGCCGCTTGGGACGTCACAGCCCATGTCATGGGTCCCTTGGGGCGTCGCTGCCCCTGAGAGGGTCCAGGAGAGCATATCCACCCCTAAGGAGAGCCCCAGACGACCCGCTGCTCTTGGGAATGTCCCAGGGAGCGCCGCCGCCCCTAGGAGGGCCCTGGGGACGCCAGAGCCTCTGGAAGAGGCCCTGAGGATACCACAGCCCCTGACAGGGACCCCTGGGGGCGCCGTTGCCCCTGAGAGGGGCCCGGGGAGCGCCGGCAACCCTAAGTTGGGCCCTTGGGGAAGCCACTGCCCGTGGAAGGGCCGCTGGGTGCGCTGTTGCCCCTGGGAATGCCCCTGCGAGCGCCGCACCTGTTAGGGCAAATGGGAGGGCTCCAGGGAGTGCTGACCCCGTAGGGCCCCTGGGGCAGTTGGTTCTGCACTATTTAGAACAATGGGAGATATGACGTTAAATAAATACACCGCCCACAACATTTCCAGTATCATCTTCCTCATGAACAATGTGAAGGAGAATAAATATCGAACAGGAAAACATAAGTTGGGGTGTTATGCTGACTGACTGCTCTGTTCTCCTATTGGCTGTTATTTGGTGGATTTACATTTTAGTCCACCAATCACAGTTAAGTAAGGGATTGCTGTTCGTACGCAATATGTACGACACCACAACCAAGGAAGCAAAAGGGATCCTGCGAGGGGCCGCCTCTAATAGGGCCCCTGGGATCGCCGCCGCCTCTGGGAGGGCCCCTGGGAGCCCCACCAACCGTGGGAGGGCCCCAGGGGGCGCCGCCGCCCTTGGGAGGGCACGGGGGACTCCACAGTTCCTGGAAGAGGTCCTGGGGGTGCCACAGCTAATGGTAGGGCCCCTAAGGGATCCGCCGCTTTTGGGAGGGCCCTTGAGGGCGCCGCTGCTCCTGAGAGAGACCTGGGGCGCCACAGCCCCTGGAAGAGGCCTTGGGAGTGCTACAGCCTCTGGCAGGGCCTATTGGGGCTCCACCTTCCCTGAAAGTGCCCTTGCAGGCGATGCCGCCCCAGGCAGGGCTCCTGGGAGCGTCGCCGCCCCTGGCAGGGCCCTTGGGGTCACGACTGCCCTTGGGAGGGTCTTTGGAGGCACCGCCGGCCTTGAAAAGGGCCTCTAGGGACGTTGCCACCCATAGAGAGGGCCCATGGGGGTGCTGCCGTCCCTGGTAAGGCCCCCGGGTGCGCCGTCGCCCCTGGAAGGCTCGTGGGGCCACCACCACCCCTGGGAGGGTCCTTGCAGGTTCGCCGGCCAATGGTGGGACTTTGGGGGCGCCCCCACCCGTGGGATGGCCCCTGGGGGGGGCCACTGCCCCTGGCAGGGTCCCTGGGATTGCCGCCACCCCTAAGGAGGACCCGCCTCCCGTGGTAGGGCCCCTAAAGACGCCGCCACCCTTGTGAGGGCTCCTAGTACCGCCTCAGCATCTGGGAGGTCCCTTGGGAGCGTCCACGCCCCTTGGAAGACTCCTGGGGCGCCATCGCCCTAATAGGGCCCCTTGAGACGTCACAGCCCATGTCAGGGGCCCCTTGGGGCGTCGCTGCCCTTGAGAGGGTCCAGGAGAGCTTCTCCACCCCAAAGGAGAGCCCCAGGGGCCCTGCTGCCCTTGGGAGGGCCCCACGGGGCGCCGCCGCGCCTAGGAGGACCCTGCGACGCCAGACCCTCTGGAATAGGCCCTGAGGATACCACAGCCCTGACAGGGACACCTGTGGCCGCCGTTGCCCCTGAGAGGGCCCCGGGGAGCGCCGGCACCCCTAAGTTGGGCCCTTGGGGAAGCCACTGCCCCTGGAAGGGCCGCTGGGTGCGCTGTTGCCCCTGGGAATGCCCCTGCGAGCGCCGCACCTGTTAGGGCAAATGGGAGGGCTCCAGGGAGTGCTGACCCCGTAGGGCCCCTGGGGCAGTTGGTTCTGCACTATTTAGAACAATGGGAGATATGACGTTAAATAAATACACCGCCCACAACATTTCCAGTATCATCTTCCTCATGAACAATGTGAAGGAGAATAAATATCGAACAGGAAAACATAAGTTGGGGTGTTATGCTGACTGACTGCTCTGTTCTCCTATTGGCTGTTATTTGGTGGATTTACATTTTAGTCCACCAATCACAGTTAAGTAAGGGATTGCTGTTCGTACGCAATATGTACGACACCACAACCAAGGAAGCAAAAGGGATCCTGCGAGGGGCCGCCTCTAATAGGGCCCCTGGGATCGCCGCCGCCTCTGGGAGGGCCCCTGGGAGCCCCACCAACCGTGGGAGGGCCCCAGGGGGCGCCGCCGCCCTTGGGAGGGCACGGGGGACTCCACAGTTCCTGGAAGAGGTCCTGGGGGTGCCACAGCTAATGGTAGGGCCCCTAAGGGATCCGCCGCTTTTGGGAGGGCCCTTGAGGGCGCCGCTGCTCCTGAGAGAGACCTGGGGGCGCCACAGCCCCTGGAAGAGGCCTTGGGAGTGCTACAGCCTCTGGCAGGGCCTATTGGAGCTCCACCTTCCCTGAAAGTGCCCTTGCAGGCGATGCCGCCCCAGGCAGGGCTCCTGGGAGCGTCGCCGCCCCTGGCAGGGCCCTTGGGGTCACGACTGCCCTTGGGAGGGTCTTTGGAGGCACCGCCGGCCTTGAAAAGGGCCTCTAGGGACGTTGCCACCCATAGAGAGGGCCCATGGGGGTGCTGCCGTCCCTGGTAAGGCCCCCGGGTGCGCCGTCGCCCCTGGAAGGCTCGTGGGGCCACCACCACCCCTGGGAGGGTCCTTGCAGGTTCGCCGGCCAATGGTGGGACATTGGGGGCGCCACTGCCCCTGGCAGGGTCCCTGGGATCGCCGCCACCCCTAAGGAGAACCCGCCTCCTGTGGTAGGGCTCCTAAAGGCGCCGCCACCCTTGTGAGGGCTCCTAGTACCACCTCAGCATCTGGGAGGTCCCTTGGGAGCGTCCACGCCCCTGGAAGGACCCCTGGGCGCCATTGCCCTTAATAGGGCCGCTTGGGACGTCACAGCCCATGTCATGGGTCCCTTGGGGCGTCGCTGCCCCTGAGAGGGTCCAGGAGAGCATATCCACCTCTAAGGAGAGCCCCAGACGACCCGCTGCTCTTGGGAATGTCCCAGGGAGCGCCGCCGCCCCTAGGAGGGCCCTGGGGACGCCAGAGCCTCTGGAAGAGGCCCTGAGGATACCACAGCCCCTGACAGGGACCCCTGGGGGCGCCGTTGCCCCTGAGAGTGGCCCGGGGAGCGCCGGCAACCCTAAGTTGGGCCCTTTGGGAAGCCACTGCCCGTGGAAGGGCCGCTGGGTGCTCTGTTGCCCCTGGGAATGCCCTTGCGAGCGTCGCACCTGTTAGGGCAAATGGGAGGGCTCCAGGGAACGCTGACCCCGTAGGGCCCCTGGGGCAGTTGGTTCTGCACTATTTAGAACAATGGGAGATATGACGTTAAATAAATACACCGCCCACAACATTTCCAGTATCATTTTCCTCATGAACAATGTGAAGGAGAATAAATATCGAACAGGAAAACATAAGTTGGGGTGTTGTGCTGAGTGACTGCTCTGTTTTCCTATTGGCTGTTATTTGGTGGATTTACATTTTAGTCCACCAATCACAGTTAAGTAAGGGATTGCTGTTCGTACGCAATATGTACGACACCACAACCAAGGAAGCAAAAGGGATCCTGCGAGGGGCCGCCTCTAATAGGGCCCCTGGGATCGCCGCCGCCTCTGGGAGGGCCCCTGGGAGCCCCACCAACCGTGGGAGGGCCCCAGGGGGCGCCGCCGTCCTTGGGAGGGCACGGGGGACTCCACAGTTCCTGGAAGAGGTCCTGGGGGTGCCACAGCTAATGGTAGGGCCCCTAAGGGATCCGCCGCTTTTGGGAGGGCCCTTGAGGGCGCCGCTGCTCCTGAGAGAGACCTGGGGGCGCCACAGCCCCTGGAAGAGGCCTTGGGAGTGCTACAGCCTCTGGCAGGGCCTATTGGGGCTCCACCTTCCCTGAAAGTGCCCTTTGCGAGCGATGCCATGAGCAGGGGCTCCTGAGAACGTCGCCGCCTAGCAGGACGCCATTGGGGTCGACTTCACCCATGGGAGGGTCTTTGGAGGCAACATACCGGCCCTTAAGGGCCTCTAGGGTTGCCACCCATAGAGAGAGAGGGGCCCATGGGGTGCGGCCGTCCCTGGTAAGGCCCCCAGTGCGTCTCCCCTGCAAGGCTCGTGGGGCCACCACCACCACCCCTGGGAGGGTCCTTGCAGTTCACTTAGGCCAATGGTGTGGGACTTTGGGGCGCCCCCACCCGTGGGATGGCTGGCCCCTGGGGGCCACTGCCCCTGGCAGGGGTCCCTGGGATTGCCGCCACCCCTAAGGAAGGACCCCGCCTCTTGTGGTAGGGCTCCTAAAGACACTTACTTCCTGCTGTAGAATATAGTACCGCCTCAGCATCTGGGAGACCGCCCGGGAGCGTCCACGCCCCTTGGAAGACTCCTGGGGCGCCATCGCCCTAATAGGGCCCCTTGAGACGTCACATCCCATGTCAGGGGCCCCTTGGGGCGTCGCTGCCCTTGAGAGGGTCCAGGAGAGCTTCTCCACCCCAAAGGAGAGCCCCAGGGGCCCTGCTGCTCTTGGGAATGTCCCAGGGAGCGCCGCCGCCCCTAGGAGGGCCCTGGGGACGCCAGAGCCTCTGGAAGAGGCCCTGAGGATACCACAGCCCCTGACAGGGACCCCTGGGGGCGCCGTTGCCCCTGAGAGTGGCCCGGGGAGCGCCGGCAACCCTAAGTTGGGCCCTTTGGGAAGCCACTGCCCGTGGAAGGGCCGCTGGGTGCTCTGTTGCCCCTGGGAATGCCCTTGCGAGCGTCGCACCTGTTAGGGCAAATGGGAGGGCTCCAGGGAACGCTGACCCCGTAGGGCCCCTGGGGCAGTTGGTTCTGCACTATTTAGAACAATGGGAGATATGACGTTAAATAAATACACCGCCCACAACATTTCCAGTATCATTTTCCTCATGAACAATGTGAAGGAGAATAAATATCGAACAGGAAAACATAAGTTGGGGTGTTGTGCTGACTGACTGCTCTGTTTTCCTATTGGCTGTTATTTGGTGGATTTACATTTTAGTCCACCAATCACAGTTAAGTAAGGGATTGCTGTTCGTACGCAATATGTACGACACCACAACCAAGGAAGCAAAAGGGATCCTGCGAGGGGCCGCCTCTAATAGGGCCCCTGGGATCGCCGCCGCCTCTGGGAGGGCCCCTGGGAGCCCCACCAACCGTGGGAGGGCCCCAGGGGGCGCCGCCGTCCTTGGGAGGGCACGGGGGACTCCACAGTTCCTGGAAGAGGTCCTGGGGGTGCCACAGCTAATGGTAGGGCCCCTAAGGGATCCGCCGCTTTTGGGAGGGCCCTTGAGGGCGCCGCTGCTCCTGAGAGAGACCTGGGGGCGCCACAGCCCCTGGAAGAGGCCTTGGGAGTGCTACAGCCTCTGGCAGGGCCTATTGGGGCTCCTCCTTCCCTGAAAGTGCCCTTGCAGGCGATGCCGCCCCAGGCAGGGCTCCTGGGAACGTCGCCGCCCCTGGCAGGGCCCTTGGGGTCACGACTGCCCTTGGGAGGGTCTTTGGTGGCACCGCCGGCCTTGAAAAGGGCCTCTAGGGACGTTGCCACCCATAGAGAGGGCCCATGGGGGTGCTGCCGTCCCTGGTAAGGCGCCCGGGTGCGCCGTCGCCCCTGGAAGGCTCGTGGGGCCACCACCACCCCTGGGAGGGTCCTTGCAGGTTCGCCGGCCAATGGTGGGACTTTGGGGGCGCCCCCACCCGTGGGATGGCCCCTGGGGGGGGGCCACTGCCCCTGGCAGGGTCCCTGGGATTGCCGCCACCCCTAAGGAGGACCCGCCTCCCGTGGTAGGGCTCCTAAAGACGCCGCCACCCTTGTGAGGGCTCCTAATACCGCCTCAGCATCTGGGAGGTCCCTTGGGAGCGTCCACGCCCCTTGGAAGAGTCCTGGGGCGCCATCGCCCTAATAGGGCCCCTTGAGACGTCACAGCCCATGTCAGGGGCCCCTTGGGGCGTCGCTGCCCTTAAGAGGGTCCAGGAGAGCTTCTCCACCCCAAAGGAAAGCCCCAGGGGCCCTGCTGCCCTTGGGAGGGCCCCACGGGGCGCCGCCGCGCCTAGGAGGACCCTGCGGACGCCAGACCCTCTGGAATAGGCCCTGAGGATACCACAGCCCCTGCCAGGGACACCTGTGGCCGCCGTTGCCCCTGAGAGGGCCCCGGGGAGCGCCGGCACCCCTAAGTTGGGCCCTTGGGGAAGCCACTGCCCCTGGAAGGGCCGCTGGGTGCGCTGTTGCCCCTGGGAATGCCCCTGCGAGCGCCGCACCTGTTAGGGCAAATGGGAGGGCTCCAGGGAGTGCTGACCCCGTAGGGCCCCTGGGGCAGTTGGTTCTGCACTATTTAGAACAATGGGAGATATGACGTTAAATAAATACACCGCCCACAACATTTCCAGTATCATCTTCCTCATGAACAATGTGAAGGAGAATAAATATCGAACAGGAAAACATAAGTTGGGGTGTGATGCTGACTGACTGCTCTTGTTCTCCTATTGGCTGTTATTTGGTGGATTTACATTTAGCCACCTCAATCACAGTTAAGTAAGGGATTGCTGTTCGACGCAATATGTACGACACCACAACTAAGGAAGCAAAGTGGGATCCTGTGAGGGGCCGCCCTCAGGATCCCCAACCCCCGAGGGCTCCCAGGCGCTGCCGCCTTGGGAGGGCACGGGACCTGCAGTTCCTGAAGAGTCCTTGGGGGTGCCACAGCACGGTAGGCCCCTGCTGAACGCCGCTTTTGGAGGGCCCTTGAGGGCGCCAAGCGTTCCTGAGAGAGACCTGGGGCGCCACAGCCCCTGGAAGAGGCCTTGGGAGTGCTACAGCCTCTGGCAGGGCCTATTGGGGCTCCACCTTCCCTGAAAGTGCCCTTGCAGGCGATGCCGCCCCAGGCAGGGCTCCTGGGAGCGTCGCCGCCCCTGGCAGGGACCTTGGGGTCACGACTGCCCTTGGGAGGGTCTTTGGAGGCACCGCCGGCCTTAAAAAGGGCCTCTAGGGACGTTGCCACCCATAGAGAGGGCCCATGGGGGTGCTGCCGTTCCTGGTAAGGCCCCCGGGTGCGCCGTCGCCCCTGGAAGGCTCGTGGGGCCACCACCACCCCTGGGAGGGTCCTTGCAGGTTCGCCGGCCAATGGTGGGACTTTGGGGGCGCCCCCACCCGTGGGATGGCCCCTGGGGGGGGCCACTGCCCCTGGCAGGGTCCCTGGGATTGCCGCCACCCCTAAGGAGGACCCGCCTCCCGTGGTAGGGCCCCTAAAGACGCCGCCACCCTTGTGAGGGCTCCTAGTACCGCCTCAGCATCTGGGAGGTCCCTTGGGAGCGTCCACGCCCCTTGGAAGACTCCTGGGGCGCCATCACCCTAATAGGGCCCCTTGAGACGTCACAGCCCATGTCAGGGGCCCCTTGGGGCGTCGCTGCCCTTGAGAGGGTCCAGGAGAGCTTCTCCACCCCAAAGGAGAACCCCAGGGGCCCTGCTGCCCTTGGGAGGGCCCTACGGGGCGCCGCCGCCCCTAGGAGGACCCTGCAGACGCCAGACCCTCTGGAATAGGCCCTGAGTATACCACAGCCCCTGACAGGGACACCTGTGGCCGCCGTTGCCCCTGAGAGGGCCCCGGGGAGTGCCGGCACCCCTAAGTTGGGCCCTTGGGGAAGCCACTGCCCCTGGAAGGGCCGGTGGGTGCGCTGTTGCCCCTGGGAATGCCCCTGCGAGCGCCGCACCTGTTAGGGCAAATGGGAGGGCTCCAGGGAGTGCTGACCCCGTAGGGCCCCTGGGGCAGTTGGTTCTGCACTATTTAGAACAATGGGAGATATGACGTTAAATAAATACACCGCCCACAACATTTCCAGTATCATCTTCCTCATGAACAATGTGAAGGAGAATAAATATCGAACAGGAAAACATAAGTTGGGGTGTGATGCTGACTGACTGCTCTGTTCTCCTATTGGCTGTTATTTGGTGGATTTACATTTTAGTCCACCAATCACAGTTAAGTAAGGGATTGCTGTTCGGACGCAATATGTACGACACCACAACTAAGGAAGCAAAAGGGATCCTGTGAGGGGCCGCCTCTAATAGGGCCCCTGGGATCGCCACCGCCTCTGGGAGGGCCCCTGGGAGCCCCACCAACCGTGGGAGGGCCCCAGGGGGCGCCGCCGCCCTTGGGAGGGCACGGGGGACTCCACAGTTCCTGGAAGAGGTCCTGGGGGTGCCACAGCTAATGGTAGGGCCCCTAAGGGATCCGCCGCTTTTGGGAGGGCCCTTGAGGGCGCCGCTGCTCCTGAGAGAGACCTGGGGGCGCCACAGCCCCTGGAAGAGGCCTTGGGAGTGCTACAGCCTCTGGCAGGGCCTATTGGGGCTCCACCTTCCCTGAAAGTGCCCTTGCAGGCGATGCCGCCCCAGGCAGGGCTCTTGGGAGCGTCGCCGCCCCTGGCAGGGCCCTTGGGGTCACGACTGCCCTTGGGAGGGTCTTTGGAGGCACCGCCGGCCTTGAAAAGGGCCTCTAGGGACGTTGCCACCCATAGAGAGGGCCCATGGGGGTGCTGCCGCCCCTGGTAAGGCCCCCGGGTGCGCCGTCGCCCCTGGAAGGCTCGTGGGGCCACCACCACCCCTGGGAGGGTCCTTGCAGGTTCGCCGGCCAATGGTGGGACTTTGGGGGCGCCCCCACCCGTGGGATGGCCCCTGGGGGGGGCCACTGCCCCTGGCAGGGTCCCTGGGATCGCCGCCACCCCTAAGGAGAACCCGCCTCCTGTGGTAGGGCTCCTAAAGGCGCCGCCACCCTTGTGAGGGCTCCTAGTACCACCTCAGCATCTGGGAGGTCCCTTGGGAGCGTCCATGCCCCTGGAAGGACCCCTGGGCGCCATTGCCCTTAATAGGGCCGCTTGGGACGTCACAGCCCATGTCATGGGTCCCTTGGGGCGTCGCTGCCCCTGAGAGGGTCCAGGAGAGCATATCCACCTCTAAGGAGAGCCCCAGACGACCCGCTGCTCTTGGGAATGTCCCAGGGAGCGCCGCCGCCCCTAGGAGGGCCCTGGGGACGCCAGAGCCTCTGGAAGAGGCCCTGAGGATACCACAGCCCCTGACAGGGACCCCTGGGGGCGCCGTTGCCCCTGAGAGTGGCCCGGGGAGCGCCGGCAACCCTAAGTTGGGCCCTTTGGGAAGCCACTGCCCGTGGAAGGGCCGCTGGGTGCTCTGTTGCCCCTGGGAATGCCCTTGCGAGCGTCGCACCTGTTAGGGCAAATGGGAGGGCTCCAGGGAACGCTGACCCCGTAGGGCCCCTGGGGCAGTTGGTTCTGCACTATTTAGAACAATGGGAGATATGACGTTAAATAAATACACCGCCCACAACATTTCCAGTATCATTTTCCTCATGAACAATGTGAAGGAGAATAAATATCGAACAGGAAAACATAAGTTGGGGGTGTTGTGCTGACTGACTGCTCTGTTCTCCTATTGGCTGTTATTTGGTGGATTTACATTTTAGTCCACCAATCACAGTTAAGTAAGGGATTGCTGTTCGTACGCAATATGTACGACACCACAACCAAGGAAGCAAAAGGGATCCTGCGAGGGGCCGCCTCTAATAGGGCCCCTGGGATCGCCGCCGCCTCTGGGAGGGCCCCTGGGAGCCCCACCAACCGTGGGAGGGCCCCAGGGGGCGCCGCCGTCCTTGGGAGGGCACGGGGGACTCCACAGTTCCTGGAAGAGGTCCTGGGTGTGCCACAGCTAATGGTAAGGCCCCTAAGGGATCCGCCGCTTTTGGGAGGGCCCTTGAGGGCGCCGCTGCTCCTGAGAGAGACCTGGGGGCGCCTTGAGAGTGCTACAGCCTCTGGCAGGGCCTATTGGGGCTCCACCTTCCCTGAAAGTGCCCTTGCAGGCGATGCCGCCCCAGGCAGGGCTCTTGGGAGCGTCGCCGCCCCTGGCTGGGCCCTTGGGGTCACGACTGCCCTTGGGAGGGTCTTTGGAGGCACCGCCGGCCTTGAAAAGGGCCTCTAGGGACGTTGCCACCCATAGAGAGGGCCCATGGGGGTGCTGCCGTCCCTGGTAAGGCCCCGGGTGCGCCGTCGCCCCTGGAAGGCTCGTGGGGCCACCACCACCCCTGGGAGGGTCCTTGCAGGTTCGCCGGCCAATGGTGGGACTTTGGGGGCGCCCCCACCCGTGGGATGGCCCCTGGGGGGGGCCACTGCCCCTGGCAGGGTCCCTGGGATTGCCGCCACCCCTAAGGAGTACCCGCCTCCCGTGGTAGGGCTCCTAAAGACGCCGCCACCCTTGTGAGGGCTCCTTGTACCGCCTCAGCATCTGGGAGGTCCCTTGGGAGCGTCCACGCCCCTTGGAAGACTCCTGGGGCGCCATCGCCCTAATAGGGGCCCTTGAGACGTCACAGCCCATGTCAGGGGCCCCTTGGGGCGTCGCTGCCCTTGAGAGGGTCCAGGAGAGCTTCTCCACCCCAAAGGAGAGCCCCAGGGGCCCTGCTGCCCTTGGGAGGGCCCCACGGGGCGCCCCCGCGCCTAGGAGGACCCTGCGGACGCCAGACCCTCTGGAATAGGCCCTGAGGATACCACAGCTCCTGACAGGGACACCTGTGGCCGCCGTTGCCCCTGAGAGGGCCCCGGGGAGCGCCGGCACCCCTAAGTTGGGCCCTTGGGGAAGCCACTGCCCCTGGAAGGGCCGCTGGGTGCGCTGTTGCCCCTGGGAATGCCCCTGCGAGCGCCGCACCTGTTAGGGCAAATGGGAGGGCTCCAGGGAGTGCTGACCCCGTAGGGCCCCTGGGGCAGTTGGTTCTGCACTATTTAGAACAATGGGAGATATGACGTTAAATAAATACACCGCCCACAACATTTCCAGTATCATCTTCCTCATGAACAATGTGAAGGAGAATAAATATCGAACAGGAAAACATAAGTTGGGGTGTTATGCTGACTGACTGCTCTGTTCTCCTATTGGCTGTTATTTGGTGGATTTACATTTTAGTCCACCAATCACAGTTAAGTAAGGGATTGCTGTTCGGACGCAATATGTGCGACACCACAACCAAGGAAGCAAAAGGATCCTCACGGGAATACCGCCTCTGTGGGGCCCTGGGATGTACCGCCTCAGGAGGGCCTGGGGCCCACTAACCGTGGGAGAATTTGAGGCGCCGCCATGGAGGACTCCACGAGGTCCTGGGGTGCCACAGCTAATGGTAAGACTAAGGGATCACCGCTTTTGGGAGGGAGGGCCTTGAGGGCACCGCTCTGCTCCTGAGAGAGAGACCTGGGGCTTGCAGCCCCTGGAAGGGCCTTGGGAGTGCTACAGCCTCTGGCAGGGCCTATTGGGGCTCCACCTTCCCTGAAAGTGCCCTTGCAGGCGATGCCGCCCCAGGCAGGGCTCCTGGGAGCCTTCGCCGCCCCTGGCAGGGCCCTTGGCGTCACGACTGCCCTTGGGAGGGTCTTTGGAGGCACCGCCGGCCTTGAAAAGGGCCTCTAGGGACGTTGCCACCCATAGAGAGGGCCCATGGGGGTGCTGCCGTCCCTGGTAAGGCCCCCGGGTGCGCCGTCGCCCCTGGAAGGCTCGTGGGGCCATCACCACCCCTGGGAGGGTCCTTGCAGGTTCGCCGGCCAATGGTGGGACTTTGGGGGCGCCCCCACCCGTGGGATGGCCCCTGGGGGGGGCCACTGCCCCTGGCAGGGTCACTGGGATTGCCGCCACCCCTAAGGAGGACCCGCCTCCCGTGGTAGGGCCCCTAAAGACGCCGCCACCCTTGTGAGGGCTCCTCGTACCGCCTAAGCATCTGGGAGGTACCTTGGGAGCGTCCACGCCCCTTGGAAGACTCCTGGGGCGCCATCGCCCTAATAGGGCCCCTTGAGACGTCACAGCCCATGTCAGGGGCCCCTTGGGGCGTCGCTGCCCTTGAGAGGGTCCAGGAGAGCTTCTCCACCCCAAAGGAGAGCCCCAGGGGCCCTGCTGCCCTTGGGAGGGCCCCACGGGGCGCCCCCGCGCCTAGGAGGACCCTGCGGACGCCAGACCCTCTGGAATAGGCCCTGAGGATACCACAGCTCCTGACAGGGACACCTGTGGCCGCCGTTGCCCCTGAGAGGGCCCCGGGGAGCGCCGGCACCCCTAAGTTGGGCCCTTGGGGAAGCCACTGCCCCTGGAAGGGCCGCTGGGTGCGCTGTTGCCCCTGGGAATGCCCCTGCGAGCGCCGCACCTGTTAGGGCAAATGGGAGGGCTCCAGGGAGTGCTGACCCTGTATGGCCCCTGGGGCAGTTGGTTCTGCACTATTTAGAACAATGGGAGATATGACGTTAAATAAATACACCGCCCACAACATTTCCAGTGTCATCTTCCTCATGAACAATGTGAAGGAGAATAAATATCGAACAGGAAAACATAAGTTGGGGTGTTATGCTGACTGACTGCTCTGTTCTCCTATTGGCTGTTATTTGGTGGATTTACATTTTAGTCCACCAATCACAGTTAAGTAAGGGATTGCTGTTCGTACGCAATATGTACGACACCACAACCAAGGAAGCAAAAGGGATCCTGCGAGGGGCCGCCTCTAATAGGGCCCCTGGGATCGCCGCCGCCTCTGGGAGGGCCCCTGGGAGCCCCACCAACCGTGGGAGGGCCCCAGGGGGCGCCGCCGCCCTTGGGAGGGCACGGGGGACTCCACAGTTCCTGGAAGAGGTCCTGGGGGGTGCCACAGCTAATAAAAGGGCCCCTAAGGGATCCGCCGCTTTTGGGAGGGCCCTTGAGGGCGCCGCTGCTCCTGAGAGAGACCTGGGGGAGCCACAGCCCCTGGAAGAGGCCTTGGGAGTGCTACAGCCTCTGGCAGGGCCTATTGGAGCTCCACCTTCCCTGAAAGTGCCCTTGCAGGCGATGCCGCCCCAGGCAGGGCTCCTGGGAGCGTCGCCGCCCCTGGCAGGGCCCTTGGGGTCACGACTGCCCTTGGGAGGGTCTTTGGAGGCACCGCCGGCCTTGAAAAGGGCCTCTAGGGACGTTGCCACCCATAGAGAGGGCCCATGGGGGTGCTGCCGTCCCTGGTAAGGCCCCCGGGTGCGCCGTCGCCCCTGGAAGGCTCGTGGGGCCACCACCACCCCTGGGAGGGTCCTTGCAGGTTCGCCGGCCAATGGTGGGACATTGGGGGCGCCACTGCCCCTGGCAGGGACCCTGGGATCGCCGCCACCCCTAAGGAGAACCCGCCTCCTGTGGTAGGGCTCCTAAAGGCGCCGCCACCCTTGTGAGGGCTCCTAGTACCGCCTCAGCATCTGGGAGGTCCCTTGGGAGCGTCCACGCCCCTTGGAAGACTCCTGGGGCGCCATCGCCCTAATAGGGCCCCTTGAGACGTCACAGCCCATGTCAGGGGCCCCTTGGGGCGTCGCTGCCCTTGAGAGGGTCCAGGAGAGCTTCTCCACCCCAAAGGAGAGCCCCAGGGGCCCTGCTGCCCTTGGGAGGGCCCTACGGGGCGCCGCCGCGCCTAGGAGGACCCTGCGGACGCCAGACCCTCTGGAATAGGCCCTGAGCATACCACAGCCCCTGACAGGGACACCTGTGGCCGCCGTTGCCCCTGAGAGGGCCCCGGGGAGCGCCGGCACCCCTAAGTTGGGCCCTTGGGGAAGCCACTGCCCCTGGAAGGGCCGCTGGGTGCGCTGTTGCCCCTGGGAATGCCCCTGCGAGCGCCGCACCTGTTAGGGCAAATGGGAGGGCTCCAGGGAGTGCTGACCCCATAGGGCCCCTGGGGCAGTTGGTTCTGCACTATTTAGAACAATGGGAGATATGACGTTAAATAAATACACCGCCCACAACATTTCCAGTATCATCTTCCTCATGAACAATGTGAAGGAGAATAAATATCGAACAGGAAAACATAAGTTGGGGTGTTATGCTGACTGACTGCTCTGTTCTCCTATTGGCTGTTATTTGGTGGATTTACATTTTAGTCCACCAATCACAGTTAAGTAAGGGATTGCTGTTCGTACGCAATATGTACGACACCACAACCAAGGAAGCAAAAGGGATCTTGCGAGGGGCCACCTCTAATAGGGCCCCTGGGATCGCCGCCGCCTCTGGGAGGGCCCCTGGGAGCCCCACCAACCGTGGGAGGGCCCCAGGGGGCGCCGCCGCCCTTGAGAGGGCACGGGGGACTCCACAGTTCCTTTAAGAGGTCCTGGGGGGTGCCACAGCTAATGGTAGGGCCCCTAAGGGATCCGCCGCTTTTGGGAGGGCCCTTGAGGGCGCCGCTGCTCCTGAGAGAGACCTGGGGGCGCCACAGCCCCTGGAAGAGGCCTTGGGAGTGCTACAGCCTCTGGTAGGGCCTATTGGGGCTCCAACTTCCCTGAAAGTGCCCTTGCAGGCGATGCCGCCCCAGGCAGGGCTCTTGGGAGCGTCGCCGCCCCTGGCAGGGCCCTTGGGGTCACGACTGCCCTTGGGAGTGGCCCTGACGCACCGGCTGGCCTTGAAGGGCCTCTAGGACGGCTGCCCATAGAGAGGGCCCATGGGGGGCTGCTGTCCCTGGTAAGGCCCCTGCGGGCCGCCCTGGAAGGCCTGGCTGCCCACTGGAGTCTGGTGGCTGGCCAATGGTGGGGATGATATGGGCGCCCCCACCCGTGGATGGCCCCTGGGGGGGCCACACGCCCCCTGGCAGGGTCCCTGGGATTGCCACCCCCATAACCTGCCCGTGGTAGGGGCCCCTAAAGACGCCGCCACCCCAGCAGGGCTGGGAGGTCCACCCTTGGAAGACTCCTGGGGCGCCATCGCCCTAATAGGGCCCCTTGAGACGTCACAGCCCATGTCAGGGGCCCCTTGGGGCGTCGCTGCCCTTGAGAGGGTCCAGGAGAGCTTCTCCACACCAAAGGAGAGCCCCAGGGGCCCTGCTGCCCTTGGGAGGGCCCCACGGGGCGCCGCCGCGCCTAGGAGGACCCTGCGGACGCCAGACCCTCTGGAATAGGCCCTGAGGATACCACAGCCCCTGCCAGGGACACCTGTGGCCGCTGTTGCCCCTGAGAGGGCCCCGGGGAGCGCCGGCATCCCTAAGTTGGGCCCTTGGGGAAGCCACTGCCCCTGGAAGGGCCGCTGGGTGCGCTGTTGCCCCTGGGAATGCCCCTGCGAGCGCCGCACCTGTTAGGGCAAATGGGAGGGCTCCAGGGAGTGCTGACCCCGTAGGGCCCCTGGGTCAGTTGGTTCTGCACTATTTAGAACAATGGGAGATATGACGTTAAATAAATACACCGCCCACAACATTTCCAGTATCATCTTCCTCATGAACAATGTGAAGGAGAATAAATATCGAACAGGAAAACATAAGTTGGGGTGTTATGCTGACTGACTGCTCTGTTCTCCTATTGGCTGTTATTTGGTGGATTTACATTTTAGTCCACCAATCACAGTTAAGTAAGGGATTGCTGTTCGTACGCAATATGTACGACACCACAACCAAGGAAGCAAAAGGGATCCTGCGAGGGGCGACCTCTAATAGGGCCCCTGGGATCGCCGCCGCCTCTGGGAAGGCCCCTGGGAGCCCCACCAACCGTGGGAGGGCACCAGGGGGCGCCGCCGCCCTTGGGAGGGCACGGGGGACTCCACAGTTCCTGGAAGAGGTCCTGGGGGTGCCACAGCTAATGGTAGGGCCCCTAAGGGATCCACCGCTTTTGGGAGGGCCCTTGAGGGCGCCGCTGCTCCTGAGAGAGACCTGGGGACGCCACAGCCCCTGTAAGAGGCCTTGGGAGTGCTACAGCTTCTGGCAGGGCCTATTGGGGCTCCACCTTCCCTGAAAGCCCCTGCAGGCGATGCCGCCCCAGGCAGGCCCTGGGAGCGCCACTTGGCAGCCCTTGGGTCACGACTGCCCTGAGGCCTGAGCACTGCCAGCTCCTGAAAAGGGTCTCTCTAGGATGCTGCCACCCAGAGGCCCAAAGTGCCCATCCCTGGTGGCACCTGCGCCACGCCGCCCCTGGAAGGCTCAGGTGGGGGCCACCACCACCCTGGGAGGACCCCAGGTCTGCCCACAATGGTGGATTCTCAGCGCCCCCACCCATGGTATGGTTCTGGGGGGCCACTGCACCCTGGCAGGGTCCCTGGGATTGCCGCCACCCCTAAGGAGGACCCGCCTCCCGTGGTAGGGCCCCTAAAGACGCCGCCACCCTTGTGAGGGCTCCTAGTATCGCCTTAGCATCTGGGAGGTCCCTTGGGAGCGTCCACGCCCCTTGGAAGACTCCTGGTGCGCCATCGCCCTAATAGGGCCCCTTGAGACGTCACAGCCCATGTCAGGGGCCCCTTGGGGCGTCGCTGCCCTTGAGAGGGTCCAGGAGAGCTTCTCCACCCCAAAGGAGAGCCCCAGGGGCCCTGCTGCCCTTGGGAGGGCCCCACGGGGCGCCCCCGCGCCTAGGAGGACCCTGCAGACGCCAGACCCTCTGGAATAGGCCCTGAGGATACCACAGCTCCTGACAGGGACACCTGTGGCCGCCGTTGCCCCTGAGAGGGCCCCGGGGAGCGCCGGCACCCCTAAGTTGGGCACTTGGGGAAGCCACTGCCCCTGGAAGGGCCGCTGGGTGCGCTGTTGCCCCTGGGAATGCCCCTGCGAGCGCCGCACCTGTTAGGGCAAATGGGAGGGCTCCAGGGAGTGCTGACCCTGTATGGCCCCTGGGGCAGTTGGTTCTGCACTATTTAGAACAATGGGAGATATGACGTTAAATAAATACACCGCCCACAACATTTCCAGTATCATCTTCCTCATGAACAATGTGAAGGAGAATAAATATCGAACAGGAAAACATAAGTTGGGGTGTGATGCTGACTGACTGCTCTGTTCTCCTATTGGCTGTTATTTGGTGGATTTACATTTTAGTCCACCAATCACAGTTAAGTAAGGGATTGCTGTTCGGACGCAATATGTACGACACCACAACTAAGGAAGCAAAAGGGATCCTGTGAGGGGCCGCCTCTAATAGGGCCCCTGGGATCGCCACCGCCTCTGGGAGGGCCCCTGGGAGCCCCACCAACCGTGGGAGGGCCCCAGGGGGCGCCGCCGCCCTTGGGAGGGCACGGGGGACTCCACAGTTCCTGGAAGAGGTCCTGGGGGTGCCACAGCTAATGGTAGGGCCCCTAAGGGATCCGCCGCTTTTGGGAGGGCCCTTGAGGGCGCCGCTGCTCCTGAGAGAGACCTGGGGGCGCCACAGCCCCTGGAAGAGGCCTTGGGAGTGCTACAGCCTCTGGCAGGGCCTATTGGGGCTCCACCTTCCCTGAAAGTGCCCTTGCAGGCGATGCCGCCCCAGGCAGGGCTCCTGGGAGCGTCGCCGCCCCTGGCAGGGCCCTTGGGGTCACGACTGCCCTTGGGAGGGTCTTTGGAGGCACCGCCGGCCTTGAAAAGGGCCTCTAGGGACGTTGCCACCCATAGAGAGGGCCCATGGGGGTGCTGCCGTCCCTGGTAAGGCCCCCGGGTGCGCCGTCGCCCCTGGAAGGCTCGTGGGGCCACCACCACCCCTGGGAGGGTCCTTGCAGGTTCGCCGGCCAATGGTGGGACTTTGGGGGCGCCCCCACCCGTGGGATGGCCCCTGGGGGGGGCCACTGCCCCTGGCAGGGTCCCTGGGATTGCCGCCACCCCTAAGGAGGACCCGCCTCCCGTGGTAGGGCCCCTAAAGACGCCGCCACCCTTGTGAGGGCTCCTAGTACCGCCTCAGCATCTGGGAGGTCCCTTGGGAGCGTCCACGCCCCTTGGAAGACTCCTGGGGCGCCATCGCCCTAATAGGGCCCCTTGAGACGTCACAGCCCATGTCAGGGGCCCCTTGGGGCGTCGCTGCCCTTGAGAGGGTCCAGGAGAGCTTCTCCACCCCAAAGGAGAGCCCCAGGGGCCCTGCTGCCCTTGGGAGGGCCCCACGGGGCGCCGCCGCGCCTAGGAGGACCCTGCGGACGCCAGACCCTCTGGAATAGGCCCTGAGGATACCACAGCCCCTGACAGGGACACCTGTGGCCGCCGTTGCCCCTGAGAGGGCCCCGGGGAGCGCCGGCACCCCTAAGTTGGGCCCTTGGGGAAGCCACTGCCCCTGGAAGGGCCGCTGGGTGCGCTGTTGCCCCTGGGAATGCCCCTGCGAGCGCCGCACCTGTTAGGGCAAATGGGAGGGCTCCAGGGAGTGCTGACCCCGTAGGGCCCCTGGGGCAGTTGGTTCTGCACTATTTAGAACAATGGGAGATATGACGTTAAATAAATACACCGCCCACAACATTTCCAGTATCATCTTCCTCATGAACAATGTGAAGGAGAATAAATATCGAACAGGAAAACATAAGTTGGGGTGTTATGCTGACTGACTGCTCTGTTCTCCTATTGGCTGTTATTTGGTGGATTTACATTTTAGTCCACCAATCACAGTTAAGTAAGGGATTGCTGTTCGTACGCAATATGTACGACACCACAACCAAGGAAGCAAAAGGGATCCTGCGAGGGGCCGCCTCTAATAGGGCCCCTGGGATCGCCGCCGCCTCTGGGAGGGCCCCTGGGAGCCCCACCAACCGTGGGAGGGCCCCAGGGGGCGCCGCCGCCCTTGGGAGGGCACGGGGGACTCCACAGTTCCTGGAAGAGGTCCTGGGGGTGCCACAGCTAATGGTAGGGCCCCTAAGGGATCCGCCGCTTTTGGGAGGGCCCTTGAGGGCGCCGCTGCTCCTGAGAGAGACCTGGGGGCGCCACAGCCCCTGGAAGAGGCCTTGGGAGTGCTACAGCCTCTGGCAGGGCCTATTGGGGCTCCACCTTCCCTGAAAGTGCCCTTGCAGGCGATGCCGCCCCAGGCAGGGCTCCTGGGAGCGTCGCCGCCCCTGGCAGGGCCCTTGGGGTCACGACTGCCCTTGGGAGGGTCTTTGGAGGCACCGCCGGCCTTGAAAAGGGCCTCTAGGGACGTTGCCACCCATAGAGAGGGCCCATGGAGGTGCTGCCGTCCCTGGTAAGGCCCCCGGGTGCGCCGTCGCCCCTGGAAGGCTCTTGGGGCCATCACCACCCCTGGGAGGGTCCTTGCAGGTTCGCCGGCCAATGGTGGGACATTGGGGGCGCCACTGCCCCTGGCAGGGTCCCTGGGATCGCCGCCACCCCTAAGGAGAACCCGCCTCCTGTGGTAGGGCTCCTAAAGGCGCCGCCACCCTTGTGAGGGCTCCTAGTACCACCTCAGCATCTGGGAGGTCCCTTGGGAGCGTCCACGCCACTGGAAGGACCCCTGGGCGCCATTGCCCTTAATAGGGCCGCTTGGGACGTCACAGCCCATGTCATGGGTCCCTTGGGGCGTCGCTGCCCCTGAGAGGGTCCAGGAGAGCATATCCACCCCTAAGGAGAGCCCCAGACGACCCGCTGCTCTTGGGAATGTCCCAGGGAGCGCCGCCGCCCCTAGGAGGGCCCTGGGGACGCCAGAGCCTCTGGAAGAGGCCCTGAGGATACCACAGCCCCTGACAGGGACCCCTGGGGGCGCCGTTGCCCCTGAGAGGGGCCCGGGGAGCGCCGGCAACCCTAAGTTGGGCCCTTGGGGAAGCCACTGCTCGTGGAAGGGCCGCTGGGTGCTCTGTTGCCCCTGGGAATGCCCTTGCGAGCGTCGCACCTGTTAGGGCAAATGGGAGGGCTCCAGGGAATGCTGACCCCGTAGGGCCCCTGGGGCAGTTGGTTCTGCACTATTTAGAACAATGGGAGATATGACGTTAAATAAATACACCGCCCACAACATTTCCAGTATCATCTTCCTCATGAACAATGCAAAGGAGAATAAATATCGAACAGGAAAACATAAGTTGGGGTGTTGTGCTGACTGACTGCTCTGTTCTCCTATTGGCTGTTATTTGGTATATTTACATTTTAGTCCACCAATCACAGTTAAGTAAGGGATTGCTGGACGTATGCAATATGTACGACACCACAACCAAGGAAGCTATTGGATCCCTTTGAGGGGACGCCTCTAATAGAGCCCCTGGGGGCTCTGCCACCTTTGGGAGGGCCCCTGGGAACGCCGCTGCCCCTGGAAAAGGCGCTGGGGGTGCTAAATCCCCTGGCAAGTCACCTGGGAGCCCCGCCAATTTTGGGAGGGTCTTGGTGGTGCCGCCGCCCTTGGAACGGCCCATGGGGGCGCCATGTCCCATGGAAGTGGACCCTGGGTCGGCACAGCCCCTGGCAGGGCCCCTGACAAGGACCTCGGGGTCGCGACTGCCCTTGGGAGGATCTTTGGGGGCACCTCTTCATTTGGTAGGGCCGCTGGGGGCACAGTCGCCCCTGGGAGCTACCCTGGGAATGCCACCGCCCCTGTTAGAGCACCCTGGGAGGGCCCCTGGGGTCTCCACCGCCTTTGGGAAGTCCCCTGGGAGTACATCCCCCCCCCCCCCTCATGAAATGGGCCGTCCCAGCGACGGCGGAGCCCCCAGGGAACCCTCTCAGGGTTCACGGCGCCCCCAGGGGCCCTCCCAAGGGAAGAGGAGCCCCCAGCGACCCTTCCAGGGGCGGTGGTGCCCTCAGGGACCCTCCCACAGGGGCGTTGAGCCCAGGGGGCCCTTCTGGGGCTTTAGAGCCGCTGGGGGCTCAGCCAGCGGCAGCGGCGCCCACAGGGGCCTTTTAAGGGCGGTGACGGCCCCAGGGACCCTCTCAGGGGTGGGTGAGCCCCCGGGTACTTTCCCAATGGTGACCGGTGCCCCCCTTCCCCCCCAGGACCCTCCTGGACTTCCCTACGCACGCCTCGTACGTCTTCCTCACATGCCACACTTCACACGCCCCTCGTATGCCCCCCTTGTACTCCCCTCCCACACATCTTCTTCCTCCCTCTCTCACACGCCTTCCTTACACGCCTCCTCCTCCTCCACGCCTTCTCTCACACGCCTCCTTACACGCCTCCCTCACACGCCCCCACACGCCTTCCCACACGCCTCCTCCTCACACGCCTCCCTCCTCACACGCCCCATCACATAATCCCTTTATATCCTCCAACACGCCCGTAAACACGCCCCTCCCACACACCTCCCTTACGCAGAACCCTCACACGCCCCCTTATGCCATAGCCTTTCCCCTCGCCCCTCATCCTAGATCCCTCCACTAGCCCACTCATTCACCTCCACCCCCCACATTTCACCCCCTTCACCCTCCTCCGTCCCTCACTCCCTCAATGTCATTCACTCTATTTATTATCCCCCCGCCCTCTCTCCTCGTCTACTTTCTCTCACTCCCCTTCCCTCCCCATCTCCTCCCCCACGTCATCCATGCCCCCTTACTACTCCTCAGCTCTCTTTGCAATCCACGCCACTACTCCCTTTTCACCCTCATTCTGCCCTCACCCTTATACTCACACACTCCTGTCTCCTTCACTTCACCCTTTCTTCTTCCTTTCCACCTCACCCTCCCCTATCCTGCACCTCACCACCTCCCTCCCTTCCACCTCACCCCTCCCTCTCCTGCACCTCAACCCTCCCTCTGTCCTGCACCTCACCCCTCCCTCCCTTCCACCTCACCTCCTTCTATCCTGCACCTCACCCCTCTCTCTCTCTGTACCCTCAACCCTCTATCCTGCACCCCACCCCTCCCTCCCCTTCCACCCCACCTCCCTTCCACCCCACCTCCCTCCTTCCACCTCACCCTCCCTCCCACCTCCCTCCCCTCCACACCTCACCCCTCCCTCCCCCTTCCACCTCACCCCTCCCTCCCCTTCCACCCTCACTCCCTCCCCCCTCCCCTTCCACCTCACCCTCCCTCCCTTCCACCTCACCCCTCCCTCCCCTTCCACCTCACCCTCCCCCTTCCCACCCCACCCCCCTACCTCCCCTTCCACCTCACCCTCCCCCCTTCCACCTCACCCCCCTCCCTCCCTTCCACCTCACCCTCCCTCTCCCTACCTCACCCTCCCTTCCACCTCACCCCTCCCCCCTTCCACCTCACCCTCCCTCCCCCTTCCACCTCCCCCCCTTCCACCTCACCCCTCCCTCCCTCCTCACCTCTGCACCTCACCCCTCCCTCCCTTCCACCTCACCACCTCACCCTCCCCCTTCCACCTCACCCCTCCCTCTCTCCAGTTTGTAAGCCACTACTGAACAGCTCATCTCCCTGCTCGAGGCTCTGGTAACACTGTCCTCATGAACCATAAAATTAAACAAAAGGAAGAGATATTGTGTCACCTATCGTTGCCAAAACAGTTGTTGCCAATGCCGAAAGTTATAGTTCACCAGAATGCTAACGTCATACCCCTATGTTAGTGTCGCATCTCCCTACAATAAGTCCTGGTAACACTGCATCCATAAATCAGTGATAAACAGAAGGGAAGACATTGCGTCATCTACCTGTACAGGAGCCAGTGTTACCAACTGAAAAGTACTCTTTACCAAGGTTGTCGGGGGTTACTGCCTCTCATCTTCCTAGGCGGAGGTGTGGCAACACTACACCCATACGTCAAAGATAAACAAAAGAGGCACTGCGCCATCTACCTGAACAAGGCTCAGTATTATCAATTCAAAGGTCGTATTTTACTTGTTTATTAACTACCGTGTATAACTTACACTCAGACACGGGCGTCTCACCTACCTGGCAACACTGTACTCATAAACCCACACGAAACAAAAGACTATACGTCAAAGGTGACTCTTAACTACCGGCTACCTACACTCCACGGACTGAATTTTCAAACACTTTTACTTCACTTTTTCCTTTGAGAGTGAAAGTGTCTCACAGGACTGACTGGCCCGTGAGGGACAGTATGACCAAGAAGTGAACTCGACCTCCTTCACTTCCCCAACTGTAGAATTAGGTGTTCCGGGTCAGAACCGGTGACATCTAGAACAGGAAACGAGTGCTATAACCAGTCAGCCACCCCCCAAAATTTCTCTCTAATTACGGATGAAAGAAAGTATAAATACCTTAGAATTTCAGTACAATTTAGACATAATTTTTAGCCATAATCTTTTACATATCTTAAATGAGCCATAAAGTTATACTCTCACACCTCAGTCAGGAGGAACATTAGCCATAGGAGTCACAGGAAGAGCAGCTCAGGGTCATGGGTTCATAGTCGCCCAATACTGTGTTGAGAACCTGTGTATGTATAGAAGACCTCATGGTGTGTCTATTAGAACCTGTGTATGTATAGAAGACCTCATGGTGTGTCTATTAGAACCTGAGTATGTATAGAAGACCTCATGGTGTGTCTATTAGAACCTGTGTATGTATAGAAGACCTCAATGCGGGTCAATGAACCTAATAAAACCCTGAATTGAACCTTAAAAAGCATATTTAATCACCTCAAGAGTCCAAATTACCCATAACAATAAAGTTTTGGCCTCGAAGATACAATAAATATCATTACAGAACCCACAAAACAAAAGAGCATCGTAACTAACTCTGAGATCCCATTTAAGAGACTTCACAAACACCTAAATGGAAGAGTATTTAGTGTTTATACTATTCAAACCTTTAAATACATAACAGTAGTCATAGTTTAGGGGAGTTTCTATAGTCTATACACATTACTTATGGCTCGTTGGTACATAGATCGTGTAGTGAGATATGCTACTGATTGCCTCTGGTTTACAATACGCTGTAGACAATAGCTGCGGTTTTGTTTACACTGATTTACATGTTCCAGTGATGATGTCTGAGAGAAGGAAGAGATGTTGATTGTCTTCTTTTCGTCTGATTTTGTTTTTGTTTCTTTGCTTCTGTTTTTATTCTTGTTTTTTCGACTTTTTTCTTCTTTTCTTTTTTTTCCTTAGTTATTTATTTATTTTTTATCTTATTTCTCTTTTCTTTTATTTTTTCTATTTCTATTTATTTCCCGTCTTTTATTTTTCTCTTCTCTTATTTTCCTTCTTTTTCTTGTCCATTTCCTTCTTCCTTACTTTCTTCTTCATCGTGACTACCTGTCTTCTCCATTTATCACATCTCTGACTGTCCTTTCAACTATCCACTCTTATCTACTTCCTATCTTTCAATCCTATCCACTTTTTCATATCACCAGGAATCCTAATTTCTTCCATCTATCCACTA